TTAAAATATATAACAACGATTGAATAAACTTACATGCTATACTATTAAATTTTTTTGCTAAAATATTACACAAAAGGATTTTATTTACAAAAAGAAATAATATTTCTTCATTACGGTATTATGCTTATTCACAAACATAAAATTGCAATGGAACAATTATTTAAATTATGCTATAAATTACTTTATTATAATCTTATTTAAAATTGCATTAGTCCTTGTAGTATTGTTAATTTCTAAAAGAGAAAAATGTCTTAAATTTTTATAAAAAAAAAAGTTAATATAGTAAAAGTATATATTATTTTAATTTATTAGATTACATATTTTATAAAGTAAATTTATATGAAAGTAATTTGAAAATATTTTGAATTAAATGAAGAGTACATTAAAAAATTAATTTTGTAATAAAATTAAATATTTTGTCAAAAACAAAATTATTCTTAAAAATTGTATAAAAATAAAAAATTTATTAAAACATTAAATAGCACTGATATATTTTTGTATCAAATTAATTTGAGCAATGACTATGGAAGTATATTGAATATCTGAATTTAATATTTTTTACTCTCTTTATAGGTCGAAAATCAGTTCTTTAGTAAGTGAATGTACATTAAATTTTTCATATTTTCTATGAATTAAATATAATTTGTAGTCATTTCGATAAACTAATTTTTCAATTAATTAACTAGATAATCGAAATACAAATTTCTATTAAGTATGATAAATTAATTATTAAATTTAAAATAAAATTAACTATCAATAAATAAGTTAAATTAAAGTAACAATGATGCATCCTTCGAATTAATATCTCAAGCGTATTTCCTGTGCCGTCATTTGAGCTGTGGTAAGAAGCAAGGAAGAGAAGAGCGTTCAAACTGAAAAAAACTTCCTGTGGGACGTTGGCTAACGGGACGTATGGGCTGATGAATGTACAAATAATTTTTTAACGGAAAACTGAAAAAACATAATTAAATTATCATGTTGAGAAATCAATGTGATTCTACATTAGCGTATAATATTTTAATTTATATGTGCCTTTGATATACATATCCAAAATATATAAACAAATTAAGTAATAAATGTACCAAATGTACCGAAACGCCATAATTAAATCTAAATTTAAAGCGTTTGAAAAACTGAGTTGACTAAATAATGTAAATATCCAAAATATTACATATTTGATTTTATATATGAATATAAAGTCTATTTATTTATTATTTGTTTATATTTCTTTTATTATTAAACTTAGAATATTAAATATTGGTAAAAAATACATACCACTAAATTTTATCCTTTTTATGTAAAATAATAAAAAAGAAAGTAATTGAAAAGTACTTTTTAAGTTGTACATTATTATTTGCGTGTGTGCCAGTGGTGCCCGCGCGCACCTGAGTATGCACGAGTACATATATTAAATTTAAAAATATAATGTACCTTATTATTAATTTGATTATAAAAATATTATTAATTATTAATATTATTATTTTGATTATAAAATGACTAATTGTATAAATTTTAATTTTTAAAGCATATTGTTACAATCTCCTTTGTTTATTTAAAACATTTTATATTTGATTTCATAATTCTTAAGGATATAAATGTATTACTATTTAATTGTTCCACACATATACATATTTGTAAAAAATATATAAAATGAGAATTCAATATTTATAAAGAAATTGAAAACTAATCAATTTCTTATCAATATGTATAACTAATATATGTTTTTATAATGATACTGATATTTGTATATACTAATATATTTATATATTAAGTATTCTATTTCAATATAATAATTTTATAAGTTTAAAAAGAATATACAATTTTTTAATAGTTTCATTTTTTAACTATTTTAATAATGTATTTTATATTAATGAAAAAAAATTATTCCTTCTTCAGCAAAATAAACGATACTTTTGATCTTTGTCAAATTTCAGTGTAGCTAGGGCACAATTATAAATTATTAGACGACGATTAGCATACTATCCATAATTCAACAAATTTTCAATATTACTATGATATGATATATATTGTGATATAATATATTACATATGATATATTCAGATCTTATATACATTTGTAGTTATCACAATTAGAAAATCATACAAAGGAAATATAAGAATTAAATAATTAAATATATAAAAGAATCTATTGAAAGAATTCTTCAGAACGATAAAAGAGATATTAAAATATTAAATTATTAAATTATATTAAATCAATAGATAGAGATAAAGGAGGCATTTTGAATGAAATACTGTAAAACTTCCTTTATATAGATTATAAGTTGAAAAGGAAAAAAGAAACAAGAATTTGGCTACAATTAAGGAAGCAGCGGTAATAGTATTTGTTCTTTTTGTGGGTGGTATCAACTACATTAACAATTTTATCAGTTTTATTTTCAAGAATCTAGTTTTAGTTCGGAATCTAATAGTAGAAAACTACTCTTGCACATTACTGACGTATATACACGTAGTTATTCTATCTACTTATTTCAGTAATTCACATACCTGAAATTAAGGTTGTTTCTACAAAATGATTTTATAGATACTTCAGAATTGATATCTAGAAAATTTTTATATCTGTTTTGGCATTGTTATTCAATTGTTAATGATACTAAAACAAGGTAGAAATATGATTGATTATACAAAACAGATATATAAAAAATTTATTAATTTCGTTCGATACTTTATATATTAATTAAAATAATGATTTTTTAATAATAATTAGCTGATAACTGTTATGGGAAGTTTTCAAAAATATTTTTACAATCGCTGAAATTTCTCAAGCTAATTTACGTAAATGTCTTTAAGTAAAAAAATATATTTAGTGTTAATTTTTGCGTATTTACATTTTCTTAAATAATATTTTGAGAATTATTTTTTATATTAAATATTATTTGAAAGAGATTTTAATTTACCAAATTTATTTACCAAATTCAATTAATTATGATTTGTATATTTATAAATATTATAATTTATTACATATAGTAAATTTAATTTTTAATTTTGTATGCGATTTTTCATATTTTATTAGTAAATATTAAATATAAAAAATCAATAGATTTAAATTGAAAATAAATTTATTTCTTGTAAATAAATAAAAGTAACATTAAAAGATCAAATTTTTAATAAATAGTTAATACTGAAAAAAGTTTTTAACTTACTTGAAAATTTTAAATTTTCAAAAGATTTGTTAAATACTTTTCATTTGTGTATAAATATATGAAATACATTAGTACTTGTAGTATAAATTTAATAGGCAAGTTCTTTTTTTAAGTTCTTTTATTGTTTTGAATAAAACAGTAAATATTTCTAGAAATTTATTATTTGTTCAATTTATAAGGAATATATGCGAATCACATATGAACTGGTGTTAATATTATATACAGAATTAATTTTTAAGCGAGAATATTTTGAGCAAAGAAATGTATATTTTTAATTTCATTAAATACAATAAATATTAAAATATTTTATTTAAATAACTTTCGTAACAAAATAAGTTTTACATGTGATGATTGATCTAACAAAGAACGAGACTATCAGTATTTCATAAACTTATCGTGTAATTTTGAGATTAATTTAATATAATGTCTATTTATAAAAGAATATAATTATGTTATTTTAATATTATATATAATTACTAAATGAATTTTACACAGGAAATAAAGTAAAACTATATTCTTTTTCATTTAGTTAAAATTAAAACAAAAAATGTTTAAAAATTTGTTATGAATTAATATAATAATTTAAAAATGTCAAATGTATAAGTTGGTAATGTTTTCAGACTATTATTATCTTACTATCAAGTACAAAATAGTTTAATAAAACTCACTCAGTGGATGAAAAACGAAAAATATGTATGTTATTTGTATTTGTATAAAATTTGTATCTGTATTGCATAAATAGATTTGCAGACTCAAATGTGATTCGCATAAAGTTACGAACATGTATAATGTTTTAAATAAACTAAACAGACTAGAAATACACTTGTTTGAATACTTAATAAAAATTATAGATTCTCCTATTAGAATTGCATTTTATTGTTACATGTTATTTCTTTTTCAACCAGTCAAGAATAACTTTTAACGATTATCTTAGCGATATTCTTAACACAATTATTAGTCAAAAAATGTGCGATAAATAATATAAGTAAATATAACTAAGACGGAGAACATATATTTTCATTTTTTTATGAAATAATTTTCATCTCAATAATTTTTTACTTAAAAAGTATTATATATTTTCTCATGTTACTTGATTACAAAAGTTATATGATCCAGTAGATTATTTATTGTTCACTTATTAAAATTTTATTATATTTTTGTTATAGATTTTTCGCTATCTGGATACTGTTTATAATATCAACAAATGTACAAGTAAGTTTTTACATTAAAGGAGCATCTATCTATCTATAAAATTATTTACACTATAAATTATGTTAATTTTTAAACTGCTGACAATAAATTAATTTATTAATTACAATGAAAGTCATTTTATATATAGTTCATGTTATGAGAATTTAATTAAAATAAAATGTTTGTTTAGTGTGAATATAACTATTTTAATTATTTTATAATTACATAATTATTTTACTCAATTTTATTATATTTATATTAAAATTTATCAATTATTTAAATGTTATGTTCTAGACTAGAAATATTATTACAGATTATTGAAAATCAATTTACATAAATAATTATATTTATAAAATGTCTTTAATATTTATTCTCTAACAAATATAGAAAAATTCTATAAAAAGCAAAGTATAAAATTTAAATAATTCGATGTTTGTACAAATTTATTTAAAAATTGTAGAAATTATTTATCATACTCTATCTAAAATTTGATTGTGTAAAAAAATGATCAAACATGATATATAGTTATAAATGTTTATGAATGACTTAATATATAGTTATAAATAAATGAATTTCTCAATAGATACATTCGTATATACATATTATAATCATATTAAAAATTAATTGCACACATTTGTCATATAATTTAATAGATTATAAAAGCTAATAATACTTATATGGAGTCAACGGCTGAAGAATCATCTGCAGAAAATACAACGGAGGATTATTGGACTGGAAGTGGTTTAAGTTCAGATGACGAAGACAGCACTCATAATGAAACAAGGGAACTACTTGCTCACGAAGCTAGTGACCACGAAGCGGTAACTTGAATTAAATTAAAAAAAAGACTTTCAATTTTTTCTTCAATTTTATTATTCGATCTATATTTTTTATCTATAGTATTGTGTTCCTTTGGTTTTAATTTTTTTTAAGATGTTTGTAAAAAATTAATTTCCAAACTTGTTTAAACCTATATCAATTAGATTTTTAACGAAAACTACATGATTTATTTATAATAATAATAGTAGTGTTTGATTTGTTTAAATTTTCTCTATCTAACGCTCTATTTAAATTTTATTACAAATAGTTTTTATGCGAAATTAAATATAATTATTCCAAAATAAAAATATAAGTTCTTATAAACAAATGAAAAATTTAGTCTATTTCGGAATTTATTGAAATATATATAATATAACATCGATTATGAATTAAAAACAACTTTTTAAGTAAGTATATGCATTTGGAAAGGCTTCTTAAATGTACAATAAAATATGAATAACAATATATCTGTCTAGTTTTTTTTATCAAATATTTTTCAATGCATATTAATTTCAATATATCTGAAAAATCATTTACTCAATTAATTTACTATTAATATTCATTCATAAATAAAGATTCTTTTACATAAATAACTTCATTATCAACAAAATCTGTTAATAATTAAAGTTAATTGCCATAATAAGATTGATAAAATAAAAAATTCATCTTATGAGACACCTGATTTCATAATTAAATTAATCTTAAAAATAAATTAATTAAATAAATGTTACTACAGTATTATTAATCTTAATACGTATTTGCTTGTATTAATGCGCCTTTAAAACTAATTGTTCATTTTTAGTTCACTTATTAAGTAAAATTTCTTGCAATAATATAATTAATTACTTTTATAATCCTATGGTTGAGTTATCATATCACATCCAATATGGAAGCAATTAATACACTTGTGAAAATTATTTATTTCCATTGCTTTGAAGAAGATCTTTATATTATTCATCAATCAAAAAGAAATAAACTGATTTCTGTCAAAATCTCAGACGAATCTGTATATCAAGGACCTACAAAATTCTAATTACCAATCTTTTTTCCACATAATGTTTTGCAACCATAAATTTATATCCTGTAAATATTTTTTAAAATACATTAACAATTTTTACGATAAATATTATTATAAAGATTCTTTATTAATCGAAGGTGAATAGACGTTCTTTAACAACTTGAATTTTTTTCTTATATCTAATCATTAAATAGTTAAGCAATTATTTGTATGTCATGTTAAAATAAAATAATATTTCGATTTAAATTTTGTATGAATAGTAGCTTTTTTAAGTCCCATAAAAGTGAAGAATACTTTTTAAGGTCAAATTCAATATAAAATTAACTAGAAAATTTTGAATACAATCAGCAATCTAAAAAAATTAACTTATTTAAAAGATTAAGTAGAAAATATTATAAATTATTTAAGAACACAGTTTTATAAAATTCTGCTCTAATAATATCATGTGTTTAACCTGACTCAAATATTTATGACAACAATTTAGAATATGAGAAAATTCTCTAATTTGTTTCAAATTTAATTCATCGTTCTGTTTAAATTAAAATTTTAAATTAAATTTTATTATACAGTTTTATTAAATAATAATAATAAATTCAGTTTAAAAATACTATGTAAATTAAGTAAGATATAATAAGGAAAAAAATGAAAATAATGACAGAATGAAATTTATTTATATCTACGTAACAATTATTGAACATAGATTGCACTGATATCAAAAACCGTATATCAAAAACATTAATTGTAATATTGTGATGTTATATTATTTATATGTAAAAGAAATTTGAAAATAAACAAAAGTAAAGATAATATTTTATATCAATGTAGATCTTTTTTTTAATATAGCTTCATTTCTTTTTCAGTTTTTTTTTTAACATAAATACATTTAAATTAACTTTATAATAAACACTAATATTTTATTTATATAATTATTGTAAGCATCGTAATGTAGTAGTGTAGTAAATTATCTTTTATTACTAATCGTATTTTTTGTATCTTTTAGATGTAATTGATAATGTAGTATAAAATATTTTGTTGGATCAAATATTAATTGCTTATCAAAAAGTTAAATAAAACATTTGAAAAATATAATATAAAAGATCATGAAAACAATACAGAATACACTAGGATATTTTTACAAACAGTTATTACATTAAAGTATTCAGCATAAGAGAGGTCAGTGTTTCAGAAAATAAATGCTTCTCTCTTTCAATCTCTCTCTCTCTCTCTCTCTCGCTCTCTCTCTCTTTCTCTCTCCAATTTAATTTGTTCTTTTAGTACTTCGGCCTCTTTATGTTACTGACGATGCGCTCGGTCGTTAATGTTCTCATGCTAATACATTCAGAAAATCTACTGTAACATGAAACCTCGATACATATAAATTACAAAATACAGCGTTCATTTGGTGCAATCTATTTAGTACTATTAATACTATAATCTTTTTAATTGCTATTTTGATGATATCGTTTAATTTTAGTAATGACTGTTCGTTCTTCTAATTTCAGTAACAAATTTTAAAGATAAAAATCCTTTTTATGTTTAAAATTTATTAATTTTATTTATTTTCAAAATGTAATTTTGAAAAATTTCTTTTAATAGAAATTATTTTTTCAACCATTTAATTATCTTGTATTTTTATTTTAAAAACTGAAAAACTGGATTATAGTAGTTTATATATAAGCAATTAATTAATGATAAATAATTATTTTAACATTATATTATATTATATTAATTATAAAATAAAAAATATAACATTATATTAATATATTAATTCTATTACTGAGAAATATCTCATAAAAATTCACAATTTAAATGAATTATTCATTTTAATATACGAGAAATGTCAAATATTGATAGAAACAAAACTCGGCTTTAAATATTTCAATGTATTATTAATCTAAATTAAAAAATTTTTACATAGAATATATTATAAAGTTAGATTTTGAAATAATATTTTATTTAAATTATATTTTAATCAAATAAAACAATTATAATTAAACTCGCAAATAATTTACCCAATGCAAATTTAATTTCAAACATTTATATAATAACAAACAACTTAATAACTTTTTTACCAAGTATAGGTGGTCTACGTAAGTGACGGAATAAGTGCTTCATTTGTACCTGTACCATCGCTAAAAAATCAACATGTTAGTCCGAAACTCCAAGCAATACAGACACTTCACGGCCTTCAAGGATTACCCTCATCAAGTACAGCAGATCATTCTATACTCGAGTATGATGGAACCGATATTACTACGGAGGAGGATTGGAGACGCCATCCAGAGTCCTGGGATATAGACCGTGAGCATAGAAGATACAGACCGAATACTACAAGGGTTCAGCGTAAGTTTATAATAAATTAATAATACGGTAAACATAATTAAATAGTATATTTTATTCTATTAATTTTCGATTAAAATTTACTTTTCGCGTGAAATTTAATCGATAATACTGATATTAGATCATCAATTAATGGATTATATAAATAGTTCTTGAAAACAATATTTTAGAAAATATATTCTCTGATTTTACAAATACTATTAATTTAATGACAGAATATTATAAGATGCAGATTATAATTTATAATAATTCCACACTGAAATATGAATTATTAATATATGAATTTAAATAATAATTACTAATCATAGCTATGATGTATTAATGTTTTGTTTGTAAGTTTTGAATAATTAATAAATTTATAATACAAAAAATAATAAAAATATCAACTTAATAAATAAATATATAAATTTAGAGTTAAAATATTGTACATGGTTACAAATTTTATTATTTCCTGAAATACATACTAGTTACAATTTTACTTCTTAATTGATTAAATATAATTGAAAGCAGGGAAGGGTGTATTTCAATACTGTAATATTCAAAATTTTAAACTATAAACTTTGAAATTTTGTAAGTTTTAAAATAAAAAATTTTATTCACAAAAGGAAAGATAGATATGGTTAATGAAAATTGAGTTGCTTTTGAATTTTTAGTTTTGCAATTGTTATTTATTAATTTAAAATATGTTGAATACTAATGGAGAATGAAAGAGAGTAAAGAAAAACAAGTTTTTTTCAATATTTTTTATTAAAATATTACTTTTTCAATCAAATAAATTTCTATAAAATATGCTAAAATTTTTATAAATTTAGAAAATAATTACATTGGAACATAAAATATTCACGTTTTTATTCAAATACCAATAAAAAATTATTTAAATATTTTTGAACTACAAGATTTTTAGAGTAATTTCATTAGTATACTAAAGCTATGTGTTAATCAACTTAGATATACTTAAAAAAAATAAAACTTTATTATTTTTTAACAATTAATATAAATTATACATAAAAACAAATAAAATCTAAACCCTCGAATTAAACTAAAACCATGTGAAATGCACTAATTTGTATACAATCTCGAATTTATCATTTAAATTCAATTTATTATAATTTAAATGTTTGTATAATAATGTAATTTATACATATAAGTAATAACATAATAATGTAGATAACATATATTATAATCATAACTGGTATTTTCATCATAAGTTTTACTTTTTCATTCATCTATTTTTCTATTTTGGATATTTAATATAATTTAAAGTAACCTAATAATACGATTTTTCTGTTGCTAAAGACATCGCTTTAGTAAATAAAATAAGAAAATTAACCATATGAAGTATGAAATACGCGCTGAAGAATAAAACGGTTATGCACTTTGTTAAAAAATACTGTGAACTTTCCTATAAATCCAGTTTCAATACTTTTATATGCAATTCTCCATCCCAAATAAAAACTGTCGATTTAAATTTATTTCACTAAAAATAGACATAAGTATTGAGAAAATTAAAATATTCATACAATTCATACATTTATACATTATTTCTCGCCGTTTTTCATATTTATACCAAATGCTTATAAAAATATCTATATGAATTTCATACAAGGACAATGGTCTTCTGAATCGAATGTTTAATAAGCACTAGATACTTTGAGCTCAACAAATTCCGAAGTTACAATCAACCAGCAACTGTAGCTGCAGTTATAATTATAGAAACATTAGCAAAAGTAACCGTTAGTTTAGCAATTAAAATTATATCGAAAGTCTTACAGAAGTGAAATCATATAACAATTTGATTTATAAAACATAAAGTATTTATTTATATTTTAATTAAATAGAAAATGTTAAAATAATATTACAAATTAATTAATACAAAAAAATTAAACATAAAAAAACGATTATTTTCAGCATACATAATAGCTGCTTTAATAGAAACAATTTATAAATATATATTTTTTTTTAATTAAAAAAAAATTTTTTAATCTTTTTCAACAATTTCATTATGGAACTAAAATTATACAAATATAATACAATCTAAGAAAAAATTAAAGCCAGTTTTAATTAAAGTAAGTAATTCTCTTACCTTTATACAAGAATCATATCAAATTTACAAATATTATAGAACATAATATATTGAAATAAATATAAAAAAACATAAAAAAACAATAATACTTGAATCATAATTTAATTAAATTTTGAAATATAAGTAATAGTTACAGCAGTAATATAGAGATACCGATAATGATTATAACATAAATATTAAAACTAAAATACAATGAAATCATAAAGAATGCAAATGTTTATCTCAACTTCATATAAGAATTTTTTAACCATAACTTTTAATCACCGATTAAAATAAGACAACTTTTACAATGTTACTGCTACTTTGCACTATTAAAGTTCAACATACATTCTTGCAATGTTATATAATATTTTCTCCAGATGGTTAAATCCAATTTGTAAATCCAGTTTTTAAATTTATATTTCATATTGTTCAGAAATGATATGATATTCGAGAGATCTTCATACTTGAACACATATCTAATAGTTTAGAATATTTGATAAACTTTTAAGTAAAGATTGTACCAATAAGAAATTGTATCCTTCGAAAATTAAATAATAGATATTTGATTAAGAAATAATAATAATAATAACTTAGATGAAAATATAATAAATATTTTATTCTGTTAGTTAAAAACAATAGTAAAAATGTCATTCAAACGAATAAACTTCTTATGAGTATTCGCAAGAAATAACTTTCATTTCTAAAAATTATTGTTAATCATTATTGTAAAAATTATACCTACAGTGTGATTGTACTTGTTTATATATATGGTTGGTAGAGAAATTAAATTGCCTATAAAAATTATTTAAAATAATCTAATAAGAAATAGGATTTCAAATACAATGTTTTATGATTGATATAAGATTAATTGTAACTATAGGATTTATTATTCTTATGCCTAAATAACATGCTTGTTAACCCTTGATTGTATTAATAATACCTGAATAACATGAATGTTAACTCTTGTTTGCGTACTTGAGCAAATATGTGTGCACGCACAATATCTGTGTCTAAAAATAGAGTACCGGGCTAGGAGGGCCAAATATCTAGAATTAGGTGTAAACTCCCAGATGGTGAAAGGGAGGATTGCGGGCAAGTGCACTGGATAGTGCATGTATTCAATAATAAATAGATTTGGTATTTGTTTTAGTTTATTGCGATAATTGCATTATTTGTATTATAATGATTTTTAGTTTATGCTTGAATGCCTTCGTTTCTTAAGTTTTCTATTGCTATTGCCACAGAGCTGTAATGTGCGTTGCATGTACAGGTAGAAGGGCGTAGCCTTCTGGTCCTCTATATGTAATGCACGTGGTGGTGGTGTTATACACGTAGAACAAGATCGTAAACCCCCGTGCTTCCTTGTGCAGTGGCACGTGGCAGTAGCTTAAATTTGCCTTGGTATTGTCTTATTGCTTACGTTGAAGGCTCTGCAGGTGCGCTTTAGGTGGCACTTCATCTTAGTCTGCAGATATTGCTGCGTACGGCGCCTCGTAAGTCTTTCTTGTGGGAGCTAAACTTGCCCCTTGTGTGTTTGCAGATTGTGTGAGCTTGGTCACTCTACAGTTCTTTATCTTGTGAGGCATATTGTGTATTATTATCGCTATTAAGGAATGGAACTTTACCTTATGAGTTTTCCAGATTTTGTGCTCTTGATGGCAGCTAGTGATGTCTAGAGGTTGTGCCTCGTGCGGCAGCTTGTAGTTTATGTTTTGTGTTTTTCTGGCTATGCCTCGTATTGTTTGCCGAGTTTGCCTCGAACGGCTCCTTATAGGTTGTGATTATGTTGTGCCTTGTGTACCACTGTTTACTTGTTCCCTTTTCCTTGTCTTGCACTGCTGCGAGTGTATGATTTGATTTGCATTTATTTTGCACTTGTTATGAGTTGGATATGACTAGACTTTGCCTCTTAATTGGCCGTTACTGTGTATGTCTACATCCTTGTTATTTGGCGTTCCCTTGGAGAAGCAGGCTTGCCGACTTCTCTGGTGACAAGAGACTCCTCTGTGCACCTTGCTGGCGTCTTTCTAGAAGGCATTCTCTCGGCCACCGCGTGGCCCTTATGAATTTCGTGCTTCATGGCTTTTCCAATCAGAGCACCTCTTTTTGGGCGTCTCCAATCGAATTGATCCTTTCATTATTGGCGGCTCCAATCAGAGCGCTTTTTACTTGCATTCCCACCATGAGAGGGGGACTTCTTTGGCACGTTCTCGCTTCACCATCCGAGACACATGTAGCTTTGGGTTTGACAACAGCGTATGCGTGCAGCGTATGTTACCTTTACTGTCCCTTTTTCGTATGAAAGACGAGGTGGTTTTTAATTATATTTTTATGACTTGATTATGCCAGGAGTATTATGACTTGTCGTCGATAGATGCTTTGTGGCGACGCCGTGTCAAATGTCTCGTAGCATTAGTTTTATGACTTGTTTTGCTGGACACTTGGAACTTTGTTCTCGCCAGATGTGTTTATGAATTGTATTTTCTTTAGATATTCAAAGTTTTGCTGAATTGTTTTAGATTTAGTTAATCCGAGGCACGTTTGAATGTTATTTCTCAAGTAGTTGAGAGTTCGCCTTTTTCGGAACTCTTATCTCGAATTTTTCAGATGTTTCATGAGCTGGGAGTTTTCTTACATTCTCGAACAATCTGCATAATTCAATTGTATTGTAAAATAATAGAAATATCTACGAAATTCGTAGCATTAGCAATGTGACTATCATTGATTATTCTTCACAATATGTTTTTGCTATTTAGATTACTTTACTTTTTAATTTCCAATACACTTTAATTATTTTAATAAGTTTTATTTATTCTACAACTTGTAAATAACATAATTATTCAAATACTATTAGTAATATACTTATCTAGTAAAATATGTATTATTATACTCGAAATATACTTAGTCAACTAAAAATTGAAATAATTTTTCAATAAAATAAAATTATTTGTGTTAAAATAAGCAATGTACTATTTTTTTTAGAAAAATATTTTTTTCCTACAACTTATAAAAAATATAAATTTCATATTATTATTTTAAACATATTCAACATTAAAATAAAAAAAGCTATATAGAATCAAATAATGAAATATTAGTACATTCAATCTTTATCAGGCATTTTATCGGAACACATTTTGTGCTTAATTTTTTTGGTTAATAAAAAAAATACTAAACGATATACAACATAAAGTTATTTAATTACAAATACTTATTATGATTTTATCACTTTAAATTCTAAATCAATACTATCAATAATTTACACAAAATTTAAACTACTATTTATTGTGTATTTATTATTTTATATGTGTTAATTTAATCTTTTATACGAATACATATACTTCAAGTTTTCAAGTATGTTTTTATTAAAATATATTGATATTATATTAAATGACCAAAAATATAAGTAACTGGTGCTATTTTGAACTTTATAAAATTATTTGATAAGTTTAATTCGTTCTTAAATTTTGTATTTATGTGAAAATACATTGAAACTAAAAATCGAAGAAGAATAGAAGAGCTATTGTTTTATATTATTTTTTTTTTAATTTTTTATAGAATCTACAGTAATTCCTAATGTTGAATTAAGATTCAAACATAAATTTTATTTCTTTTAATTTCTTTGTTTATATTTTATAAACTTGTTTTATTCATTATATAATATAAATCTATTAATGTAAAAGTTATTTTATAACTACATAATTATTCTGACAAATAATATATTTACAAAATTTCATTAAATATATGTGTCCTAAATAAATTAAGGTAGAAACATTATTTAAAATAAATATTAAAAAACAAAAGTAATAATATTTTTTGGTTATAGATATTGAAGCCGAGTGTCAAGATGATTACATGAAAATTCGTATTGGTTTTAATGGCTCCTTCAATGGTTTATTATATTCGGCAGGTCAGTTTTCATGAACCATGTAGATATGAGTTTGTGAATCAAATGTGAGCACTGAATCTGTCGATCAACTTACAAGCTTTTATTATTTATATTGTACTGATTTAATTTATACTTATTGTATGTCGAAGGATGTATATTTAATGTGTATAAAAGTATGTATACTAACTGTATATAGAAGTAAAAATACTTACTGTATGCAGATTTAAATTATACTTAATGTACATAAAGTTAAATTATATATGTTGTATACAGATTTAAATTATACTTGTTTATACAAAAATTTACATTCATAATTTCTTTTATGCAACAACATTTATTATTAATTAGATGAAAAAATCTTTTAGTTGATTGTTATATAATAATATAAGCTTGTGAATATAAGCCACTTTCAATTACAGGTTATTCTTATGATCCTGATTGCATGTATGTTAATGGAACTGGACGGGATTATTATGAATTTTTTATTCAGCTGAATAGGTGCGGTACTCTTGGTGAAAACACGCATCATCAAGATAGTAGGAAGAATCCTACGGTAAAATATTAAATATAATGTTGTAATTACTTGAACAGTGTTACGAATATGACGATGTAATTTATTATTATTGTTAATAGAAAAATCTTATGTGGAACACTGTAACAGTACAATATAATCCACTTATCGAAGAAGAATTTGACGAACACTTTAAAGTCACATGTGAATATGGTTACGATTTTTGGAAGACTGTCACGTTTCCTTTTCTGGATGTTGAGTAAGTAACCTCGCTACTAATTATATTCTTAAGTTTTACCTATCTACAACTGCTAATTTTTTGTATTATTATTTTATATTAAATGTAATACTATTTCAAAATTATTGATTTTTAATAATAAATTAATTTAAATCAATTAAAATATCTTAAAAAAAGGTATTATTTAGTTTTTAGGACTTCTCCAATTTTAATTTATATAGAACTTTGTATCTTTTATCTGTCTTTATTTATAATTACTCTTTTAAGAAATTTATTGTAAAACACTATTTTTATTTTTTATTCCTTTTTTTTAATTACTTACTTCACAAATGTATTTTTTTGCACAAATTATTTTTTAGTACTTCATCGATATTTAATTAATATAATTCTTGAAACTATTTGTTTCTATTAAAATATTTTTTCTAATAATAATATGCTACTAACTTTGTATAAACATTTGGGAGTACAAGCATATGTGTATGTTACGAGCGCAATGTGTAAAAACATATAAACACATATATTTGAATTTTTTAAAAAATTTACAAATAAATTAGTTTTCAATTAAATATTAATATTGGCATATATTTTTTCTAGTAATATATTAGATATTCAATTATATTATACATAATAAATATACTATTAAATTACATTCATTACAAATACTATTAGATCACATACATTTTAAGATATAAAATGTAGATAATGTTATATAAAATAACATTAACATAAATAAAAAATTTAATTTTATAGTTTATTAAGATAACTTTTCCCTTTATTAATAAAATTTTTTTTAATAAAAGTAAGAATAACTTATTTACAAAAATAACAAATTAAACAAATAAATTGAAGTTTAAATTTATAATAATACATAAAATCATGAATTTACGTAGTGTACATGTTTTAATTAGTAAATATAAATACACTATAAATACTCTTGTGTATCAATAAATGTATCAATAACAAATTTATCAATATTTTGAAAAATATATTTTTCAAAATTGTTATATTTATCAAATTTTTTAAATATGATGATAAATTACATTAGTTTGATCGAATAATAACATGATTTAGTTTGTACAAATATTGATAATATAAATAAAAATATTGTTCGAGATTCCGAGTATCTCTCGAATGTAATCATTTCGGGGAAATCCCCACGCTATCATTTCGGGGAAAAACCGCAACGGTTATAATTTCTGTGAAATTTCCCAACGATCGTTGGAGGTCCGGAAAATTAAGTGTACAATCGCATTTATTGTTTCAAGTACTACAATTGTCTCCTTATTATCAGCTAACAAAGCTGCGCGTGAATATTTAAGACAAGCGCACCACGAATACACTATTCAGCCAAGAACAAGTCACTTGGGCAATCGCATACTTTCTCAGCAGAGCCGCGGCGAAAGGTACCAGTATCAGTTTCATACTAAGTAGAATCTCAAACACAGTGCCCAAGCACGTGGCTGTTATACGCCTTTCTCGTAGTTAGTGCCACTGCACACTCTCTCAGGATTCTCTCATATTCTCTCAACGGCACTCTCTCAAATGTTCGCTTCCACAAATCAGAGCAAGCAACACTATCCGACGTCACATCAAGGTATCGAACCAGTTTCTCACCCTTCCACGCCATAAGACATTTTGGAGGAGATCAACAATCAAGTTACTACCACGTGACACTACGCGTGAAGTGTCAAGAAATTTACGAGCTTTCAGTTGTTAGTGTAGTACTTCACCACCAATCGCACTACATCAGGAGAATCCAGAGATTCACGACCCCTACATCTAAAAGTAGTGCGTGCTAATACCACGTGGCAAAAACCAAGGGAAGGTGAAAATTTCAGCGATTCTAATCATCAACGTAGAATCTGTATATTGTAGTAAAAGTGGGTCATACGCGCTGTACGGCGCACGACACGCGCGCTCGGATCGGGACGCGCATTCGGGCGAATGTTTATAAACAAAACTCGGCAAGTCCGAGCAAGTTATACGACATGAAATATAATTAAGATCACACAAAAGTATTACGCCCTACTTTTCTTTCGTCGAATTGTTGAAGGTTCTAGATTTTTCATTCCACGCCTCGTGTAAGAATTAGTGCAACAACGACGATGCTTTGTTGCCAGCTAAGTGAGCCGCCGCTTGGCTATATAAGGGACGCACGCGATGCACCTCGCTCTCTCACTGAAAATCTCTCTTGCTGAAAGCTGCTTGCTCTTGCCGAACCACCCTGGCTCAACTGCGCTTGCAGCTAACATCTTGCCGTGACCCGCCCGCAGTGACCGACCATAGTGAACCGATTTAATCATCTACCAGTAGAAGCCATGGCACACGGGTCTTGATCTGCCCTCAGCAGGACCGCCATGGAACGGTCGGTATTTTCAGCAGAGCCGCCACGGAACGATCAAGCCTTCGGTTCGTGCGCGTATTCAAAAGGATCATTGTAATCTCACTTCGCGCTCACTCAAGTGTAACTGCCGCTCAGTGTTTCAGCATACTGCGAAGATGACACGTGGCCATATATTCAGTAATTCAAGTTAAGAATGCACGTGTGCATAAGAATAAGAAATCGGTAGATTAGGTAGTGATTACAGTCAAACCAAAGGAATAGTAATTGAAGGGAACATCAGCCTCGCAGTAAATCAACACACCTTGTCAGCAGTTATACAAGGTACCTCTTTTATATTAATAAATAAGCTAGTCACACCTCGCACAAGAATAAAACGGGTAATTTCACATTCTCTCGGTCGAACCAACGCTTCGACCTCACGCAGGCCCAAACAGTCGACAGGTGATAGAGCACGCTCTCTCGAAGCATCTCTTCGTCGCCGTGCATTCCCAAAACAGTCAACACAGTTGACGCAACAAGTCAAGGTCGTTCTCAAGGCCAGACTACAGTATATCGACTGATTGACTATTAATACACATCAATAAATCCTTCAGAGTTCTAAGGCTTATAATTAATGACACCTGTGTGTAACTAGCTCTTCTACTACCCCTATAAATAATTAAAGACACAATTGATTACTGAATAAATTCCATTAAACATCTTACACCATATCAAATATTGTTATTGATACGTCAAGCATACTTGATTCACACACAATCTTCTCATACTGCCTGATAAGCATGATTGATTGACTACTCCAGCTGATATTTAAAACATCAGCATTACCTCAACTTCAAGATAGTCCATAGAATCTACAATAATCAAGAATACAAGAACACACCCTCATTACGTCAATACAATTATCTCTCTCTACACAACAGTGCAATATTATTAGAATCATATAGAAATAATAAACATTGTTTTAACTAAATACATGATATTTTTCAGCCTTGTCAATTATTATTTCCTTTAAAGTTATCCTGCCGAGAGACTCATCCACTGAACTATTGAATTGCTAGTACGAGGCATGAGCTAAGACTTTAAAATCGAACATAGCGCTAACTTCTACTTAACCACAATTTTCTCCGACCAGGAAACTGGTGGCCATAATCTAATTCTAATCAAATATAAATAATATAAATAAAACCTCTTTTTTATATCTAATTGTTAATCAATTATCATTTAGAAAACAATAGTCATTTATTATAATTGTTCAGGATTCACGCACCCAACAATAAATATTTATTTATTGAAAATGAACATTTTTGACATTACAAGAAAAATTCGCTACAAAAATTCTGGATAAACGTTAAAGCCTTTGCCTAAGAAAGCCTTATAACTTATCCGCATAGCAACTAAAGAAGATTCTCGAATGGACTAAAGCTTACTTTCCGAGAATTTAACAGAATTTCCAAGAATTGTAAACACTAAATCTACGAAATTATATATAAAGAGCAACACACGTCGAAGCAAATCAGTCTTGTTGAGTAAGTCAAAGTGAAATAGTGCAAGTCATAATAGTTAAAAGTTCTACACGTCTGTCTACGAGAATCTGTGCAAGGTCATTTGTTTACATTAGTTATTGCCGGCCAGCTACCGGTGCGCCCTCCGCAACTTGACTCTTGTCAGACCGCATTGAGGGCAACGATATAGTCTGGCATCACTAGCAAGCTATTTATATAATTTATTGTTATTACGGCTCAGCACCGACATTATCGGTCAGGTTCCTGCAACTTGATTATTATCAGACCGCTGATGAGGGCGCCGATACTGTTTGGTAGCCCGGCTATACTATCATTACTACAGCACAGCGTCGACGTTATCGGTCAGGCCTCTGCAACTTGATTATTATCAGACCGCTGAAGAGGGCGTCAATATTGTCTGATGTCCCCCCGCAATTCATAGCTAATGAGAGCGCCTATTGGCCACGAATTTTTTTGTGGACTTAGCTCGGATAATTACTGTTACGTTGGCTGGTACAATATAGCGCCGACAGATAGAGCTTAGTTCCCATAATTACTATTACGTTCATTGGTATAATATAGCGCCGACAGTACAAAGGACCAGTCTTCCCTTGCACACCCAGACGACGCCTTACAGTTATTGCCAACTGTTAGAATCACGATGAACTCAAAAATTCTCACAACGACCAGTAACAACTACTAATGTAACATAACCTTAAATAAAAGTCACTAAAACCAATTATGCTTATACTGAATTGATGCATTAACCTCTCATTCATCCTCCTCTTTCCACAATTAAACCGGTAATACGGTCTAATCTAACGATCTTGGTCTTCTGATCATCCGGGTGGTTGAAATTCCAAACAATAGTTAAGTAACATTCTTTTATTTTCAGAGTTGCAACTGGTAATCCTGTAGTATTTACATTACAACCACCTGAATGTTACATGGAAATTAGATACGGCTATGGAACTACAGGCACCAGAGTAGCTGGACCTGTTCGCGTTGGAGATCCTCTGACATTAATAATTTATATGCGCAGTAAATACGGTATGTAAGCTACGACTGAAAAGATTTGTCATGATTTTACGTATAATTGTAAATTTACTTTATTCTGTATACATTATATATGTTTTAAAATGTTTATAATTCTAAAATAATTAAAATAAATAGTTTATCTAATAATTTTTTTCTAATAACATATAATGTTAGTAAATATACTTTTACATTTATTCAAAGTTCACTTTAAAGCGTTATTTTCTAGAATTATAAAATTTTTTAATGTCAAAATGATAAATAATTGATTTTGTTATTATTTAAATTATTATTTAAGACAAATAAAAAAATTATTTGGATTAAGATAATGAGAAACATTAATTTTAAAGTAACCAAATGTTTTTTTTTATTATTTGCAAGTCTTGACAATAATATTATTAATTTAGCAGACGGCTTTGATATCGTGGTAAATGACTGCTATGCACATAATGGTGGCAACAAACGGATTCAATTGATAGATCAGTACGGTTGCCCCGTGGATGATAAACTGATTAGTCGATTCCGTGGTTCGTGGTCTGAAAGTGGTTTATTTGAAACGCAAGTATTTGCCTATATGAAAACGTTTCGATTCACCGGTTCTCCAGCTCTTTACATCGAATGTGATGTCCGAATGTGTCATGGACGATGTCCGGTGAGTTCATAGACTAGTATCTATTTATATTTACATTTTAACAATTATTAATATTCTTACGTGCATTTACTTATAAATTTTTCATAAAATAAATTTTAAGAAATAAATAATAATTACTTAAATATCAAATTTAAAATGATTAAAAGTAGAATTATTCATAATTTTAAATATAATTATATAAATATAACTATTCTAATAAATAATGCTAGTAATAATATGAATATAATAATACACCAAAAATAATGGAAAATTGAACATAATTATCGTTTTGTTGTTAATTCATCGTTATTGTTTTTTGTCGTTTTCATACTCCAAATTATTATTATTAAAAAACTTATTTTAGTTTTAATATTATTCTTTGAGTATTATAGAAAAACATATAATACTTTTATAGTTTCAGTATCCAATAACATATCTTAATAAAATATACGATTACATATAGTATTCTACGAAGAAGTCATTTATAGCACAATTCAATAAATATTCTAACTACAATTAACCTTTGTAATATGTTGTTAAGGTGAATAATTATTATCAGTTTTTAAACATAAGCATAATTTTTTTTAATCGTATATTACATAAACTTTTTTGTGTACATTTTTACTCAATCTTAATTATTGTCAACTGTGTGAATCAATAATTTAGTAACCATAACTTTCAAGATAAATGCAATTTCACTTATATTATTTTCAAACTTATTATACAATTAGGTACTATACAATCAGACTATCACAATTGTAATGAAATATTGTAAAGTATTAAATTACAAAATTATATTATTTAAACTATTCAATTTTAAGCTTTTTAATAACTACTCACTGCTAATATTTCATCCAAATGCCAACGCTTACTAAAATAATCAAATTGATATAATTTTTGAAAAATCATACCACATTTAGATACTATGAAAAACTTTCAAACGATAAATCTAAATCAAAGATTATAAATAGATCTGCATATAGATCTGCATAAAAAATATAAATATAGAAACAACATTATTAGTTATTAATAAAAAAAGGTTAATAAAGAAAATTATGAATTCATTAACTATCTTGGAATGTTATATTTTTATGTGTGTGAGAATGGATATGCATATATAATGCTTATGCATCGAAAAGGAAGAAGAGAGAGAGGAGGGAAATAAATAAGCTTAAATTATTCTTTGATGGCAGACTTCATAAGTTTGTTTCACATTATATGAAAAAACTGATTTCTTTTATTATTTTTTAAAATGTATATTTATTTCGTACCTCCTTTAAGCTTCAAATTATTTTCATCTCTTTCATTATTCAGTAACCCAAAAAATATACGTACCAATGAGATTTCACATGCTCCAGATAACGATTAATTTTAATTTTGGAAACATTTTATATGCGATTTACAATTTTAAGTGATATATAATAAGAATATTTAATAAACACTTTTTTAAATACAAAGAAAACGTAAAAATAACAATGCGTGTAAGTATAAAGCTTAGATTATTAATTTACATAAGAAAAGTTCAAATTCATACATAAATGCATCTCGCGTAATACTACACGTAATCAAGACGTATGTATATTAAATTTATAGAATTAATATAAAACTAATCTTTTAAAATTTTATTTATATAATTTCAAAAATAATAATAGCATCATTTACTTATATTATAAAATGTATATAAAATTATCATGGAATTTACAAAGTTTCAAAAAATTTGTAACTATTTCAAAAATAAAAAATAGAATAAATTTACGTTAATATCATAAAGACATCATAGATCATCAGATATCATTAATTGTGTAAATAACTATGTTCGAAATTAAACGTTTTATTTTATGGCTCGAACTGCCATTTCAATAGTTCAGTGGATTAATCTCTCGCCATAGCGATTAGGAAGAAAGAAGGCACAAATGGAAGGGATGAAAAGTGTAATGTAATATATTTCAGTTCGATTATTAATTTATTCTGCTTATGAATTATAATATTGTAGCGTTGTTGGTTACTTCTATTAAGATTGAGAATTATTCTATTGTAGTGGTGTGAGTTCTTTCTTGTGCTCTTGATGTCTGAGATTTGAATTGCAGTTCACACTAGCGCAAGTGACTCTGATGTGAGATGCACTACTCAATAATAATACGCGAATGGTGACTGTATAGAGAAGCTTTAAGATTTAATAGTGCGCTCGTTATAATGACTTTGTAATTGTTAATAGACTAAACTAAGAAAGACTGACAGCTACGCCTGAAGCGCAGCCCTTAAATATTATCGCGCTAGTTCTTAAGAGCCATGTTGCTATGACAATATTGGTCGTGACGTCAATATGGCATAGCCTGGAAGGTTCCTTCGCTATTGCTTATTAAAACTGAATCGCGCGCTCATACCTCTCCCACTTTTGTATTCCGCTTTTCACTTGTTTCAATCCGTAACAAACTAATTCTATTTAATCACTTACTCTTGTTAAAAATAAATAAATACATGTCTTTTTAAGCCCGTACTGATAAGTTATTAACTTTTCAATACATTTCCAATTTTAGAGTCAACCATGTCACTGGAGAAACTCTAAGTCTATAATAAAACGATCTATAATAAATATTGTTGAAAGTTCATCTACGCCTGTAGCAAGTTTATCCGAGAATGTTAATCTTTTCCAATCACTTAGAGTATTACAAGAGGGCGAAGCTGATACCGAACTCTTTCAAAATGTGACAACATCCTCACGAAGCGGTAACATTGCTTTTATTTGCACTTATATATTAAAAAATATTAAATATGATCAAAAGTATACGTATGTATATATGACAATTTTATAAATTATTTTATATATGAAATTATTATACATATACTGAATAATTTATATGATGAAATATTTAATATATATTAAATATATTTTGTGATATTTTACATTTCATTGTATTTAAATATCTTTGAAAATTATACAATTTATATTTTAACTAGTGCATAAATACTTAGATTACATTCGTGTACATTAAGTATCTGTATAAAAGCTGAAATTTAAATCAATATTTTTTGTTTTTTTACGTAACACACGTTTTAAATCAAATTTAAAGCATTGAAATTTCTCATTTTTCTGTTTACAGATACAAATGATTCAAATCCGGATCGTGTATGTCTACGTCCAACTCTCGTTAATACATTTGTTGGAATTAGTTGTGGTGTTCTTTGTATAATGGCAGCAACAATATTGGCAATGTGCTCAAGAATGCGCCGGGTTGCACGTGAGAAACTCCTCTCAGACAGCATTAGCTACATGACTCATAAGGGACGAATAAATTAGAATCATTGCGACAGTGAATAAGACGAATATCGTGTTTATATTTCATATTTTTTTACTTTTTTAATATCATTTGATTCTTTATTTTTTAATTAAAAATTAATCAAAAATTATTATTAAATGACTAAAGTTATCGTAATTTTTTCGAAATAATTAAATACTTATTGTAATTATAAATTCCAAAACGAATAATTTATAAAAATTAAAACCTTCATATTAATTTCGATCTAGAACTGTACTTGATACAATACTTGCAGAACTTCGTAAAATAATTCTCAATATTTAGTAAGCAACATTTTATACTAATTATTTTTTATACTAATTATACTAAATATAATTATTTTTTATATTTTAAAAATCAGATTAATAATAAATGAAAAAATTATCAAGATCATGAATAATTCTTTCATTAAGCTACAATATTTTTTAATTGGATAATTCTAGCAATATAATTGAGTTATAATTGAGTATGGTTCTAAATTTAATTCTACACTTAATTATGAATACAAAAGATTGATAAAAAATATAGATAAATATTTTTATAATATGTTTAAATAAAATATATGTACAGATTGAGGATATCGATTTTCTAAAAATAACAATATTGACTGAAAAAATAACCAACTTACATACTTTAAAAAGCATTAAAAATATATTGCATTCTAAATTAGTTATTGAAATTGTATTTAATATCTTATAAGTTTTCAATTAATTGTGTATAAGAAATTATATTTAATATAGTGGATGAATTATAGGATGTTTTAAAAAATATAACGAACAATATACAGAACGTAAAATATATTTTATACACGAAATAAAATAAAGAATCTCTAAAAATTTATATTTTCTTATAGGATAATTACTAATAAATTTATCAATTATTACAATTTTATTAATTTTGTTTTTAATATGTCACAAAGTTTATTTATTTGCAATATTTCATTTTAACATTAGTAACTTATTATTATTTGATATGTTCAGAAATAACTGTAGTTTATATTTGGTAACTTACGTTCAATGAACAACGAAATTGTAAATTATTAAGTACGATTTGAATTATATATAAAAATAAAATAATGATTTTTTTAATAAAACGATTATTTCATATTTTATTACTTAATTAGTAAATCTAAACATTTGTTAATATTGTCAAATTTTCTGATATTCTGAATAAATAAGAATAATGTTGAAAAAAACGTATGTGGTCTTTACAAAAAAGGATAAATTTTTTACTTATAACATAGAAGATACTATCAAGTAATTGTTCCGATCAACGCACGAATTTTAATTTAATGATAGAAAATAAATTATAAGTAAGAATCATGATAATTAAATAATATTAATTCGAAAATTAGAGTTTGCGTTTAATATTTAACATTTTAATTGATAAATAATAAATGAATAACTAAATATTTTTGAATATTTAATAAAATATTTTTATCCTTATCATAAATATAAAATATAAAAAATTTTATTGAAAATTGAAAAAAATGAAATTGAAAATTTCATATCAAAACATTTGTTAAATTCTATATGTACGAGAGTGAAAACCCCATAAAGCATGGATTAGCGTTTTTGTGTGTTTTGCAACATCTGCGGTGCACATCGAAGTAGTTAGCGACTACACGGCCGATGGCTTCATATCCGCATACAGAAGATTCACAGCTCGTCGAGGAATTGCCAACACATTGCATTCAGATCACGGTACAATATTCATAGGAGCAGATGCAGAACTTAAAACATTAATTTCCAAGAGAAAAGCCGAACATCAACGGTTAGAGAATATGCTCTCGCAAGATAATACTCAATGGCAATTCAACCCACCCGCTGCGCCTCATATGGGAGGCAAGTGGGAAGCTATCATAAAATCTGTAAAACATCATCTGAGGCGGACTATGCGAGATGCCTTGCTGACACTTGAAGAGGTTAACACCCTGCTTGCACAAATTGAAGCAATCCTCAACTCGAGACCATTGGAACCAATGAGTGACGACCCGGAGGATATTTCGGCCCTAACACCTGCACATTGTCTCATTGGCAGCTCGCTAACAACCATTCCAGAGCCATCTCAATAGGGATTATCAATATTAGGTTTGTCTCGTTGGAAATTTATACAGCAGCGTGTACAGTAGTTTTGGTCACAATGGTCAGCCCATTATCTGCAACGACTGCAATCAATCTCCAAATGGCATCATCCCAGGAATGACATTGTAATAAACTCATTAGTGCTAATTACGGATGAACGGTTCCCTCCCTGCAAATGGCCCCTCGCACGAGTAATAGATATAAACCCCGGTAAGGATGGGCTTACAAGAGTGGCCACATTAAAAACAGCCTCGACTATAGTGGTAAGACCAATTCATAACCTAGTGCTACTACCAATACCTAACAAAGAAGAACAATCATCAAATGAACTTGCTGATGGCGGGCGGAATGTTCGAGAGTGAATAGAAAATCTCTCGAATTATATTCATTAGAAAACATTCAATAAGCTATTAAAAGTGAATTAGTGAACAGACATGAAATCTAAGAAGGTCTCGCCAAGATTACTGGAGACTCGAAAAAAGGTCGAACATCTGGACACTCGTAACCAGTCACTTTATGGCCTTTTGACCTGCAGACATAGTAATTGTTTTGATTGCAATTAATGACCCTTGCGGCTTAACATCAAACTTGACTAGACTGGTTATACGAGTATAATTTTGAGTATTTGAATTATTTGAAAACAATTGAGTGAAAAACATTTCTCGAAATTGATGGCATCCCGAAACTCAGCACGTACGATGTTCGATAATCTGCGTCGCACGTGCGGTTATAATATTCCTATAATACTATGCATTATTGTCAAATACGCTAAATGTTGCCGCTTGCATCGGCTAGGCGAAGATGCTTGACCATGAAGCAACCCCCACCACGATGAGTCCCAGAGAGGGGCAAATCTTCCACTTTAGGCGTAACTGGCAGCGATGCTCTTCC